ATACGAAAAAATATTCTGAAGTAATCTGAATATTGCACAAGCGAAAGTATAGATTCTATTAGCTAATACGCTACTATTCTAAATTAACTGTAGAAAATTGGATTTCTCATAGTGGTTGCATGAGACACAGATATTCCGATTACTGACTCAAAGATTTCGATAAGTAATTAGATTACGTTGAAAAAGTCCATTTGTAAACCTCTGTATATTTCAAGTTTGTTTTTTTAAGGCAAAACTTTCAACTTATATTCGATAATGTCTCATAATAACATCATAACACATGACATAAATAAACAAATATGTATATTAAGCACAATGCATTCCAATATTTTCAATCCAGTTAAAGGCTCGTGCAGTGCAGCCTTTCTCTCCGACAGGGCAACGCTGCATGACAGCCTGAAACCGTATGAGGCGGTATCCAACAGATTTCTCTGCTTTATTAACGCTCTTTTTGTGATCAATTCAATTGGAAAACGAGTGGGAGGGATAAAAAATTAAAGCTAACACTCCTGCTTGACTACCACGACAAAGGTGCACGAAGCTCCTCTCAACAAGTCTTCGTTAATTAGTACATAACTATTTCAGTCTAGTCGATAACGGATGGAAATTGCGTCTTTATGGTGAGTGTATTTGAGCAAATTATTAAGATAGACGTGACGTTGGTTACTTCGGTTGCAGTAACCAAATTTTATCCACATGAGGCAAAAAAACATGCATGCTACACATAACGTTTAGCATAATCAGTGTTCCTTACATTCACTTTAACCAAGCATTTGCGGAATCGACCTCTCTGTTCGTTGTTCTGGGGCATTATTTATTATGGGCACACAGTACGAAAACTGGCTCTCAATCAATGAAAAATACTGTGCGCCGGACACGCACGAGCAAATTGAAGCGACAAGGTTGTTTCATCGATCCCCTATTCCCAGGTTAAGGTTGTTTCATCGATCCCTTATTCCCAGGTTAAAGTTGTTTCATGGATCCCTTATTCCCAGTGTAAGGTTGTTTCATCGATCCCTTATTCCCAGGTTAAGGTTGTTTCATCGATCCCTTATTCCCAGGTTAAGGTTGCTTCATTGATTCCTTTTTCTAAGGTTAAGGTTGCTTCATCGATCCCTTATTCCCAGGCTAAGAATGCTTCATCGATCTGTTATTCCAAGGTTAAGGTTGTGTCATCGATCTTTTTATTCCAAGGTTAAGGATGCTTCATCGATCCCTTATTCTAAGGTTAAGGTTGCTTCATTGATCCCTTATTCCCAGGTCAGGGTTGCTTCATCGATTCATATTATACGTTTAAGGTTGCTTCATCGATCCCTTAGTCTAAGGTTAAGGTTGCTTCATCGATCTCTTATCCCAAGGTTAAGGTTGCTTCATCGATCTCTTATCCCAAGGTTAAGGTTGCTTCATCGATATCTTATTACAAGGTTAAGATTGCTTCATCGATCCCTTATTCTAAGTTTAAGGTTGCTTCATCGATCCCTTATTCTAAAGTTAAGTTTGCTTCATCGATCTCTTATTCCAAGGTTAAGGTTGCTTCATCGATCTTTTATTCCAAGGTGAAGGTTGCTTCATCGATCTCTTATTCCAAGGTTAAGGTTGCTTCATCGATCCCTTATTCCAAGGTAAAGGTTGCTTCATCGATCTCTTGTTCCAAGGTTAAGATTGCCACATCGATCTTTTATTCCAAGGTAAAGGTTGCTTCATCGATCCCATATTCCAAGGCGAAGGCTGCTTCATCGATCTCTTGTTCCAAGGTTAAGATTGCTTCATCGATCTTTTATTCCAAGATTAAGGTTGCTTCATCGATCCCTTATTCCAAGGTTAAGGTTGCTTCATCGATCTCTTATTCCAAGTTTAAGGTTGCTTCATCAATACCTCATTCCCAGGTGACGTTTGTTTCATCGATCCCTTATTCAAAGGTAAAGATTTCTTCGTCGTTCCATCTTGTCCATGTTGAAGTTGCTTCATCGATCCATTCACCTCAGGTTAAGATTGCGTCGTCGATCCCGTTTTCCCTGGTTGAGATTGCTTGATCAATCCCTTTTTACCAGGTTAAGATTGTTTCCCCGGTCCCTTTTTCCAGCCATTATGGTCACGCATTGATGACGCATCTCTCATCGACCACCCAGCTCTAAGCATCATTCTGACGCATTCATGACGTAAAGTTGGGAGTGCCATCTGATTTGACATCTAAATATTCAATTTGAAGTTTCGTTCGCGACTTGGTTTTCTTTGTCACGCTCAGCTTCAAGGTCGCCATTTTAATGAGGCGAAGTGGTGAATTGTCGGAACCTAAAGAAATTTTAAGAATTCTCTAGAAACAAAGAAAGCAAATAACTGTAGCAAATGCGAATTACAAGTTTGGGTGCCCATTTGTCAGATAACAAAAGGAACAATTAAACTCAACAAGCTGTAAATCAAAAGTGACTTACATCAAAGAAATAATCAAACTCGTACATAAAATAGAGAAACAGTTTAATCATTCTTGAATTTAGTCTTACTTGGGGATAATATGTTGGTTCTACTATGAAAGATGGTCAACTCAATAAATTGTGTGCGATTTTAGAAGTTCTGCTTCACCCCTCTCACATTTGCGGGAAAACGACAGCCTACGTCGCCTCTTTCCCCACGCACCCTTTCTTTTTGTTTTCCGTCTTACGCCTCCGCGACTCCTCTAGTCGGGATGCATGCCAGAGGCCAGCATTGCCTAAGACCAGCATATCATTCATCCTCCTTTCCGTGCGTAAGCCTGCTAAAAGGCAGAGTGGACTAAGGGATTATATTTTAAAAGCCAAAGGTACAAATCCCCTTCATGGAAATTAACCAGCGAGCTAATGAGAAGTAAGCCAGCAATACAATCGCTCTACGCCGTATTTAAAACCGCCCAACAGCTCTATCCCATGCTGTCTAACCTCCTCACGATTTTCGGTAAGCAACTCCCTACGCCATACCGCTGTTGATACACAGCCAGCACTCCGCTGTTGATACACAGCCAGCAAAACAGCTGCGTCCGTTCGTCGCAGCTGTTTTCCCCCAGCATAACTCTACCTCCACGCTTACCAGTCTCCCCGCTTTTTTTCACCGACTACCGGACGGCTTTTCTTAGTTTCTGCTCACTTGACTGTATTACACTATGAAAAGAGGATCTATACGAGTTGTAACCTAACCTAACCTAATTCGGATAAGCATCAAAGGTCTGCGAGAAAAGCCTCCAGGCCTCTTTCACACAGGGCAGTAGATACTGCGCACGTCAAAAATGCCGCGGCAGTATTTACCGCGCAATCTTTCACACGAGGCGCTTTTTACTGCTGGGATCTATCAGTCTTGCAGTGCTTTATGCTTCATCAGTCCACCTCTATGTTTATGTAACAATATTTCTATATGGAAATATATCTCTATGTGAGAATAATGTAAATACATCTTTATGGAAATACCTATATATTTCATGGAAAATATATCTTTTATGAAATATATCTCTATCACTTTAAGGAAATATATATTTATCAATGTATATCTTTATGTTTATGTAACAATATTTTATACGCGTGCGATTAACGACCAGAGAATTCGTTAATCGCACGCGTATAAATCAACTAATTCTGCCATCCGAAACTAATTTTTGTAACAATATTTATGTACCGATATTTATGTAACAATATCAGTCTTTAATCTATCAGTCTTGTAGTGCTGTTTATTATGCACCTAAAATACGGCCCCACTGAGTAAGGTGATGACACATTACCGTTTGGTACACTTCACATTTGCGGCAATGCAGTGTGGTCAGCGGACCACACTGCATGTGGATAACATGCAATGTGCAGTGGACCACTAGAATAACAGCATGTGTAAGAAGTGATGGCATGGGTTATAAAGCATTGGAGAACAACGTATTGACCGTTAACTATGTGGAGTAGCAGCTTGTGTGCTGAAGCAGCGTTGGTTTAAAGTTCGTGTGGTGAGATAGGTCAATTGACTACAGCTGCTTAGGTGCCAGGATGACAATATCTATTGCATTTACATGGTTGATGTTGGCTCCAGGGCTGATTTGAGCGTTAATTTGCTGGTCTACGGCTGCGCACCCCTCTAGTTCACCGAAACACTGCCGTCAATTATATTCCATGACAATAAATCTTTTATTCCAAGCCTCTCAAGCTATACTATTTATTAAACGTATCAATTGCAATGTATGGATATTTCCAAGTTGTATGGATGTAAATGGCGACGAATCTAAATTTCAGCATCTGTGTTTTCCGTGTCAGCGGAAAGAGTTAGCAGACGAGCAACATAACGTTTAGCGCGCTGGAAGGGTCGCCTCATGGTTGAAATATCTACTAGTTCAACCATGGGTCGCCTGCCGAAGACCACCACTGCCCTGGATGTAATGGACCATTATGATTCCTGCCTTCCGGAACGTAGCCTTCAACACTTCGAGCCGTCCGTATCTAGGCCGTGGGTCGAACGGCGGGTCACCTGCCGAAGACCACCACTGCCCTGGATGTAATGGACCATCATGATTCCTGCCTTCCGGAACGTAGCCTTCAACACTTCAAGCCGACCGTATCTAGGCCGTTAGTCGAACAGCCACTTGTCGAAGGACAATAAATTTTGGAACAGAACTATGCTTTCTGAAAGACTGAAACCGTTCTGATGCGGTGAACGTAAAATTACGTAATTCAACGATGCCCGGAAGTCAGATTCGATCCGCGGCCTGGTGGCGCACGGTAGGTTCTATGCGAGGCCGGAGGAAGACAAAGCAGAGTGGTTCACGGCTGATTGGTGGATGGCCGGAGAGATCCAAGGCGTTTTATTCAGGGCTTATTGGTGCACAAAATTGGTGGTGCACGGCTGCGCTCCCCGCTGGAACGAGAACTATTTTACGCTCAAAACCACGTAATGTTCTGTCATACGCTCCCGTTAGTACCTTCACTTTTGCTGTTGAAATAGTACATCTTCGCAAATAAGTGTTTCTTTTCTTGCTAGTGGATAAGAAAAAATATATAAACTGGCAGATTTTGGTGTCTTTAATTGATCAATGAGCATCAGGTCATTCAGGTGTGACCTGTCCCATCAAGCTGCTTGCTATTCATCTAATCATAATGTAACTGAAATGAAATCAAATGCGTATATAAACGTAGTAGTAAGAAGCTACGTCAGCACACGGCTCAATGCAATAAAATCTAACAAATGACGTTCGGGCTTCTTAAAAAGCATAGATGGTCATTACTGAGACATGCTATTTCATACGCATAGTGTACAATGCTATCTCATAGTGTAGAATGTTATCTCTTCAAACTTTTCTTTGTGTACAATGTTTTCCTTTTCTTCAATGCAAGATACATGCTGTAAAAGACAAGTATCTTCGCTTCAAGATTAACGTCTCTCTTACCATACACAAATATGAAATTCTCTCAATATAGCAACAATTGAGACAGCGTTACAATAAGGATAAAAAATGAAAAAAGTGAAAAACAATAACCGAGACACAGAATCTCATCAGAGATTATTCAGTAATGTTAATAAGTTATCACACAAGCCTAAGCCTAAGCCTGAATACGTGATTAAGTGAATTGGCGAAAAGAGACTTAGAGTTTACATAGGTACTAATAAAGGGACATCTCTTGACAGCTACAACGCGTCAACAATCAGGTGATGCCTGTGAATAGGAGACAAAGAAAAAACGAGTCAACTAACAGAAGAAATTATCCCGGCTTTGTCCACAAGCAATGTATTCAGTCTTTGTTTCGTTACAAAGAACCACTCGTACTTCAAAACCTTCAAAAACAGAACAACGAAACCATGAATACGGATCGCTTCAAAAAGCATCGCATGTGACCATGTTAAAAGAATATTTTAGCAAGCAAACACACGGAAGAATATCGGAGATTATAAACGCTATCGAGGAACAATTCTTTATAAAATGCCTTGGCTGAAACAATAGTTCCACACGACAAGAACATTGCATGGGCATTGAGCGCGCAAGTACGTCGAACTAATCATTTAATTATACAGATTTATAGCAATCATGCGTACAGTGACTAATTACAACGCTATGCCTGATCACAAATCAACCTGTAATTCTGACATAGAATCGTTTATGATTAACTCTATTCGACCTCAGAACATATAAGCATTCATCCCAAACAAAAGCGTATTTCTGTATTGGATGAATACGTTACTACAGAAATGAACCAATCGATGGAACACCTCTCATTTACCTTACTTACATAATATATAATCTCTGTATACTGGGAAAGAGCAGGAACTTTTTACACATATACAATCTTTAAATTCTGGCAGTAATAAAATTTTAATCAAGTCTAAACGCATATTTATTATAAAAAATGTTTACAATCGCCGTAGTCTAAAAATAAAGTAAAATGAAACGTCATTTAAATCAACTCTTATGCTGATCAATATCAGTAGCCAATAATTTACGGGTATCATGAATCAAGAAAAAATGAGCGGCTGTACAGAGCGTATGTCAGCACGACATGTCGGGCACTGCCCCTTAAGCTGCTTCACGCAATTAAGGCACACGAGCACGTGGGAGCAAGGCACGAGTACGGCGTTACGTAGCCCAAAGCACGTGATGCAGCTGAGCTTAGCTGGCAGATCCTCTGCCGCAGCGCCTTCAGCGGCGCGCAGGGCGACGTTGTATGCGCGCTCTTCGTCGCGCTTGCGCCAGTCCTCGACCCAGCGACGCACCCGTCGGTACACCAGCCTTGGCAGAACAAATACAGGATAATGCGCGGCCATAAATACCGGGAAAAAGAAGAAAATTCATGAAAAAGATCATTGAATAACATCAATCAGTAGTTGAGCAGTAGTATTTTAGAATGATCTGAATTGAGGCGAATTCTGGTTGTACACTCTGTTGGCATTCATTCACTTATTTTGCCATTCCTAGTACCTACAACTGCCTCATCACATCCATGACATTAGAAAGTAACTATGATCAAAGGTTTAAAAATATTATGCAATAAAATTGAGTGAGTTTCATTAGAAATATTAAAATTATATACGATAAGGGGCTTAATACTACTGAGTAAATAAAAACGACTGCTGAGTGGCTCGGATGTCTCACCTGCCTACAAACGCTGCGGACGCCAATCCAAATATCCAAGAGCCAATCTTGAGGTACGGGATCCACATCTCGTAAGACTGGATAATGCTCTGTGCAAACAAAATAATAGTTACCTATAATAGTGACATTCGTTCCAGTTAGTTAGTTTAGTGGCCACATGTTTACTAGCGCTTCAGCATAATAACTTAATGCAAGGTATCCTACCTACATAATAATTTAATGCAAGGTATCCTACCTACATAATAACTTGACCCCACAACTGAGACCTGCAGTCAGACACCGCGAGCTCAGCGGTGGGGCGCTCAGGAACAATACCCCTAGGAACGCGAAACCCGCATAGGACTTCTGACGAGCATAGACACACGTCAGAAGTCCTCCCTGAGGGGTGACATTCGTTCCAACTTAACAATCAAGTCATAGAAAATTTAGCAACATCTATAGCTATGACGCATTTAATACAGGAGACCATATTAATTTCATAACTCAGAAGGAATACTATACACGAACGATTAGTAAATCGGCTGAGCTTAACATCAGCAATTAGATAGGATGACATGAGGATTAAATTACCCAAGAGACAAACTTACCTCGTGTGGCGAGCAGACACCACGAGGGGCAGTGACGAACGAGACTAAAATCAGGCAAGTGACAGACGTACCTCTCTACCATGAGCAGACACTTACCTCTCTACCATGAGCAGACACATACCTCTCTACCATGAGCAGACACGTACCTCTCTACCATGAGCAGACACATACATCTCTACCATGAGCAGACACGTACCTCTCTACCATGAGCAGACACATACCTCTCTACCATGAGCAGACACGTACCTCTCTACCATGAGCAGACACGCACCTCTCTACCATGAGCAGACACCAGGAAGGGCAGTGATGAGTCAGGCTCGAGGTGAAAGCCAGACGACTTGAGCACCAGCCGCCCAAGCCCTACCACCTCCGTGTCCGACACCAGCATCTCCTGAACACCACAAAGCATACAACCGCGTCACAAGTATTACACGTATGAGGGGACCGTGATGTTGTGAATTGTAGCATTTGCTGCAACATAAGGGCCTGTGAAGGAAATTTATTTTTCGTCTAACAGATTCTGATGATGATATTATTCATATAAAATAGAACAGAAACAAAGTAAATTGTTATTGATGCATGTCCAGAGACGGTTATTTAGCGTCCATGACTACGATCCAAACTTTTAATCAATTTTAATACATCAATAAACTTTTTTAAAAGTACCTATATTTTCTGGCACCGTATCTGAATTCTATTCACAAAATTGCCAGGCAAGTAAACAGTACCTAGTCAGGATTTAAAATATGCATTTAAAAAAATTTTAAAGACAACACTTCTAAAGAATCCAGTGTCTCCAATGCTACACATGTACAATGAATTTCTAATTTTATTATCAAATCTTAAAAAATTAATTTTTAAAATTTATTTTTAAAATTTAGTTTTTTTTTACTTTTTCAAAATTATTTATTCTGTCAATTGATACATGCACTGTCTCCAACTTTATGCAAGTGTGCAAAATTTAAGATCTATTGGACAGGTTAGAAGTGTGTTGAATATTGACTATACGATTTGTAGCAAACAAAATTATTTTTTTTAATATCAGAAATAAAATTTTTTTAAATGTTCAAAATTATTTATTCTATTAATTTATACATGCATTTTCTCTAACTTTACGCAAGTGTGCAAAATTTCAGATTGATTGGAGAGAAACAAAGTAAATTGTTATTGATGCATGTCCAGAGAAGGTGATTTCTACGATCCGAACTTTTCTTCAATTTGAATACATCAATAAACTTTTCTACAAGTATATATACTTATATTTTCTGGTATCTGAATTCTTTTCACAAAATTGCAAGTCAGGTAAACAGTAATCAGGACTAATAAAGAAAGTAACCGTTGCTTTCTGTAACATTTTGTAAGTTAAATGCTTAAATAACAGTCATTTCAAAATGCAAAAATTGTGCTAGTTTTCACCAAAGAATGTACAGTACGATCATGAAAATAAACTGAATAACTTGAGAGTAGACATGAGTAAATCCATTTCTGAATTGAAAATTTCAAGTGTTGCATCGAATACAGTATGGGCGAAAATTTACTTGGCTTACTGAATAGCCTATGATAAGAGACCTTTAAATATGAGTGATTAGAAATACAAGTGATCAGTGATGAAGGTTAACTTATGTGTAGGCCAAGTATCCCATGACCCCAGGATCACCTGAGTGTGTTTGACACCGGTCAGATGATAGCCTTGAATCACTGAAATAAGTGATGAAAAAAAGCTCGCATTGGAAGGCTCATAGGATTCTGCAACAACTTGCAGAGGCACGCTCTCCAGTCTGAGGGGTTCACTGATCTGCAATGAGACATCACTGGAATAGAAGCCATGGATATCATTAAAATTTTATAATATTTGAAGTTTTTATATTGAGGTAATAGCATATATTATATATTGAAATAGCATTATCATAATTTGAGTAGGGGTAAAAAAATTGTAGCTACAACAAGAATGGTAATGCATAAAACTAACAACTTATATTAGATAAAGAACTGCAGAGATGATTGAGCAGGAGATATTTTCCACAGAGCTCACGAGCAATAGATCATTGCCTTCAGAAGTCTCTGATAAGAAAGCAAGCATCTCACCTGTACTTGTAGGTTGCCATCCACAATAAGAAAAGGAACAGCTTCATGCTCTACATTAACAATACGTTCATTTGTGGACCTGAAATTAAACAGAACCAATTCCGTGACCACAACCCAATAAAATACAATATGGATAACAACAAATTTTGGAACTTGATAAACCAGCAATCTATTTACACAAGGGATAACAAGAAACAATGATGCATCACCACTAGCAATAATTTAGAAGAATGTGAGTGAAAACTGGTTGCCAATCCAAAAAAGCAACTCAATCACAGTTTTATAAAGCACATGTATATATTCAGTAAGCAAAAAAAATCAACCATGCACATGTCTTTCAGCAGATGCATTAATTTCACTGAGATACATGGAAAATAAATACCAGTAGGTATTGTTTTATTACAAGTTAGCATTTTTACTTTTGAATGACAATACTTGTTTGTACAATATTTCCTATTTATAGAAAATTCAGAATAAAAGAAATGGGCTTGATTTGTCTGCTCTGTGAATTTAAATCTAATTTAAAAATTTGTAGGAGTCACCATCAAACTTCAGATCGCTATAAACAATGAAATGTCTATAGATCTCAATAACTATTAGGAATAACACTTCATAGGTCAAGTATTTGAGTCATTAGTACTTCAGATACAGTTCTTCTACAGGACTCAATAGCAATGCAGAAAACTCACCACAGACCAAATATTTGTGTCATCATCATTTCAGAAACAGTTCTTCTAGAGAAGACACCAGTGACTTTCTGCTGACTTTTACTGCTAGAGTCAGCTCTGATGGTTAGTCCAGAAGCAGGTTTAACTGTGCCATAGAGGAAGCCAGTAGTGCCGGCAAAACTCACCACAGACCAAATATTTGTGTCATCATCATTTCAGAAACAGTTCTTCTCGAGAAGACACCTGTGACTTTCTGCTGACTTTTACTGCTAGAGTCAGCTCTGATGGTTAGTCCAGAAGCAGGTTTAACTGTGCCATAGAGGAAGCCAGTAGTGCCGGCCATCATAACCTGGCCTGTCTGATTGACTATGTTGCTTGATCGAAAATCAGGAGCAGCCTGCAAACAAGTCCATTTATTAGGTTCACTTTGAATAGAAAATAGATCATTTGTACCCAACTTGAACTTATCATCTGCAAAATTATTGTTGTAAGTTTTACATTGATGGATATTCAATGTCACAAACGTGTATATAGAAAACTGAAAAATTACTCAACTTCAATAGAAATAACATGAGTATGATCAATTTTATGTAAAGGATTGGAATACTTTAGTTCTATAAATAAATATTATAACTTCACAGCTTTAGATGCATGATAAATCCTTTTTTCACTCTAAAATCTCAGAAGGCAGAAAATCTTAGGCCTGAACAGCACCTTCAGTCTCTCAGTGAGAGACACTTGACTGTGGTAGCTCCTGAAGAGGAGGTAACTGCATCCTCCACAGATACATGCACCCAAAATTTCTGCTGTTAAACTTTCTGGCCACATGTTGCTTATGCCCTGTAGAGAATATTAAAACATAGACAACTAGTATTCAAATGTCCATCATAGAATAGTGGTAAACTCATAAGCCAAAACACCTGAAATTGTTGTGATGCTACAACTATATATTTATAAATAAACTGTGCTTTAGCAACTGATTAACATTGTTAGGGGCTGCATTTAGGCAAATGAATGATTTATTAAGTGTTTTCAATTAATTCTCTTTTTTTTTGTCCCCAGTGTTTGAATGTTAGATTATCTCAGATCAGTGGAATACTAAAGCCAGTTAAAGTCATTTTTGTGCCAAGTCATTTTTGTGCCAAGTCATCTTCTTCATGGGTTGTTATTGACCAAGGCAGATTTGCTCTTCTGACCTAGTGCCTTTTGCTGACTAACCTGCAGCATTAAATGAACCTACTTTCTGGTTATGCTGATATCAAGACTGACCTGTTGCTGAACTGCTGATAATGCTTTTCTTGGCTCTTTAAATGGGTGAGTAAAGGGTTAGCAGGTTATATGAAGGTTTATGAAGGTTATGAGGATGAGATGCATGGCTCTAGCCACGCATCTCAGTCCTAAATTTTAATTATTGAACATTATCAGTAAATGTTTGTAAATAACATCAATCATCCCTTAAAAATTGTTTTAGAGTTTTGTATTAGGTAGGTCAATGTGTTCATGTGTACTTATGTGTTTCAAGCGTTTTACTGGATAGGTTTTATGTGTTCTTGTTCCTGCAAGTCTTGGACCAGTTTGAGACGAGTGACAGGCAAGCTTTGGCTCACTGAGCCACATTGCTGTTGAGTCTTGGGCTGTTCTTTGGCTACTCAAGCTGACACTAGAGGCCAGTGTGGCTGCCCCTTCAAGTCCTGTCTAGCAACTCAAGTCAGAGCTGCCCTAATGTGCCAGTTGAGTCTACTCCACTGCTACTCACAAGTAAGACCACCACCGTCTTAGTTTCTTTGGTGCAGACGCCACTTGATGGACCAGGCCTGACCCAGGGCCTGTTTTGAGCTCTTGATTCCTTAGTTTCATTATTCTTGATTAGATTTAGGATACTGATCATTGTTCTGGCTCAGTTTAGTTTATTTACCATGAGTTCTTGTTTATTCTTTACTGTTCAAACCAGTTTGGACTGCTGGTTATTTATGTTCTCATGCTAGGTTCACCCCATCACCCATAGCCCTGGGCTGTCCCATCTTCACTAACCTGCTAACCTTCATATATCACCTTCATGTACCAATGATTCTATTTCATATATTTTTGCCTGGTTCTTCCTCTGTTTGATCTCCTGAGTTTGTTTTTATTCTGTTCCCTGTGCTGGTACTATACCAGCCGGACCGTCGATTTTCAGAGGGGCTGACCCCCAACAACATGACTTCATAGCAATGATTTTTTGTGCTTTCTAAGTAAAATTTGCTTAGACAAAATTGAAATCAAGCTGCAAGCTGCCTTCAACAATAATAATACAACTTGAAAGTATCCTTCTTTATACTGAAATATTCTGGCTCCAATGCTACATCATTTTGTTAAGTATAAAATTTTTTGGTTCTATAGTCAAGTATTTTTGTTCACTTGCAAATATTCTGGCATGTAAATTTGTCATTTCTTGAAATTTTAAATTTCCATGCTTCAGTTTCACGCTCCCATTGAAGACTTCAATTTGAACATTTCATAGATGATCTTATAATTTCAGTCAAGTCTGGCCAGGCTAGAATTCTATGATAATGCGATAAGCTTGTCATTTTTGGGCAGATGGCTGTCTATCTCCAAACTGTGATTGGTTGGTGCAATTGTGATGTCCTTCACTTCAGACTGTGATTGGTTTTTGGGATTGTGATGTCCTCCACTTTAGACTGATTAGTTGTGGGATTGTGACATCATCCTTTCCAGACTGTGATTGGTTGATGGGATTATGATGTCATCCTTTTCAGACTGTAATTGGCTGTGTCCAATGTGCTATATGTTATGGTTAATTTAATACCCCTCTAAAATTCCTGACTGTAAGTTGGACTATATCAGTACATGTACCAGAACTGCATGTTTTCTTAGGGGGTGTCTGGCAGAAAATTTTGGATTTTGACTTTTCTGGTTTTTAGTCTCATCTCAAAGCTGACATTCTGACAAATCAAACAGTACCAAAATCATCTCAGTACATTGATTTATGCATTCACAAAGATAGCAAAAGGGTTAGGTGCCGTGGAGTTTTTTCACATTTCAGATAAGCAGAAATTACCGGCTGGGCACATAAAAGGCAGGTCTGAAGGCACTGCACTTTAGTTACCCAGCAGCTGTCATGCAGGATGGTGCTCATGCAGTCGCTCCCGCCATCTGTAACTGAATTTCAGCTCAAGTAGCATCTTGTCTGGTATCTTTGCCACCTTGAATGCCTATTTTGGGGCGCTTGGAGAATTTTTTTTTTAATTACATGAATAAAAACAGTCTATTTTTCTGTTTTCCCTATCAACATAAAAATACTGTCAAACAGGGTAATAAGGGATGTTTTTGAGCGTTTTTGGTCGAGGGGAGCATCTGGGTCCAAAATCGACAATTCTGATTTATGGTTATTAGGCTCATCTTAAACCTTACATTCAGCTACATCAAATGGTACTAGATCCTTCTCTGTATGTTGATTTAAGCGTTCACAACAGATCTGAAAGAGTTAGGGGTGGTGGAGCCCTTTAACAAAACCCTATGAGAATAATTCCATCTGGGCACTATAAATGTGCACTCTGTGGCCTTGTAGCTCAGTCAGCCACAAGCTGTCTAGCTGGAAGGTGTATATGTATTCAATTTCTGCATCCCTGAGTGACTTCAGAGTGAAATAACGCTTACCGTTGGTATCCAAACTATGTTATATGCCTCTTTACATAGCGCGTGCCCCGTCAGTTGGCGGTTTATTGGCGCTCCTGTAAACCTCCTACTGCTCTCACAGCACACCTATCTCCTACAGTTTTGAAGCTACAGCAATGAGACATACCGTCAACCGGGGCTACTCGGGACAGGCGGGGCTACTCGGGACAGGCCTATGACCTGTCTCTTATACACATCTAGATGTGTATAAGAGACAGATACTAAACANCCTGCCAATCAGCTATAAAATGAGACTAAACTTGTTTATGAAATGTTTCATCGTAAGAAGTTATCAACTGTTATTTAAAACTAATCGTTCAAATCTGTCCCGAGTAGCCCCTGTTGACGGTATACCATTTGATCTGCAAAGAAAAGACCTACAAAACTATCTAAGCTTTCTTCTAATTTAATTATAGTTTTAATTTTATTCTGCAAAAAGGAGGGGTGGCGGGGTAAAAAAATTACAAAAAATTTACAAAAAATGCTCCCACTCACAAAAATGAGAATTTAAAAAAATGCATATATAGTTTTATAGATGTGGTTGTTACGAATTGAATGATATGTGTCTCAATGTTGTAGCTTGAAAATCCTAGGGCTAGATAGATTTCTACAGTACCCCCTTTTTTGGCTGTTTTCTAAGAATAACACATTTTCTTCCATTTTTGTAAAATTCACTCAAACAAAAAAGTCTTAGATTTCTGTTTTACATGCGTGTACCCAATTTCAAGGTGATCTGTCCATAAATAAAAAAGGTTTTCTGGGATCCAGATGCTCCCCTTAGTAACTTCTTACCATGAAACGTTTCATAAACAAATTTGGGCTCATTTTAAAGCTCTTTGCAAGGGCTATTGTGTGGCGTATTCCTAAAAATTTCATATGCTATTTGTACAGTGCCAGACCAAAAAAAGCTATTATTTAAAGCCTGTTGGAGTACCCTCTCCAATTTTTTTATTTATGATAAAATAACTCCAGGTTTTGATGCATTGTAGGAGAACTCTTCTAGTTACACATGCGAATAGTTACACATCCTAAAAATTTCATATGCTATTTGTACAGTGCCAGACAAAAAACAAAAGCATCCTGAATTGCCCCTGGGAACGGGTTAATCCAGGACACTTGAAATAAAACCCAATTTAAAACGTTTGAAACATGCAAAGTGTACTCATCTATTACTAACAGTACTCTGAAGTCCACCTATTCCTTTGTAGATGATGTACATGTAGAATAAATGACACTTTCTGCAATTTTTACTAGTTTTTCTTTCATTGATATGATATTACCATATTCATACATGGTACCGTATAATTGATGTGATATCACCATTTCCATGGACATGCCATTGAACATTGACCTTGTCCACTGCAGGCTTCATATCAGCAGCTGTATGAAATTTCTTCTGTATCTGTAAGCTTACAGGATGACTTGTAATTTTGCACCATTCAGGGTTGGCAATGATTAAATCATGTGATTAAATCATTTGATTTATTTATACAAAATCATGATTTTTGTTTATTTTTTCATTTTTTAGCGCATTTTCTCATTTATGGGAAAAATGCACTATTGTGCTTGCCATGTCTGTCTGTCTGTCTGTCGGTCCGTCCGTCTGTCTGTCAGTGACTTCAAGTTTTTGTCGAACACCTAATGGCAGCCGTGATGGGGTAACATTGACCGGCTTGGAAATTAAGTTGAAATTACCATAGGTACCTATATAACATATTTTATGTTTGATATGGTACCTATTAATGTTTTTTCTTTATGTTTCAGACTCTACAGAGTCTCATATATGGTAATTTCAACTTAATTTCCAAGCCGGTCAATGTTACCCCATCAAGGCCATTAGGTGGTCACATTTTGCCCCTTCACGGCTGACATTAGGTGGTCTAAGTTGTCAGCTTATGGGGGGTTGTCAGTTTGCAAATGAGGGGCGGCACCCCCCATTTGCAAACTATGACACTTTCCTAAAATTTGTCATTTGCATATGTAACTAGAAGAGTTCTACTACAATGCACCAAAACCTGGAGTTATTTTACCAAAAAATAAAACTGATTTTACCACCCAGTTAAAGAAACTCCAGGAGCTGGGGTAACAAAGACCATCACTTTTTTCGAAATTACATTAAAACTATGAGAGGCAGGTGCCGGCAATTTATGGTGAGTGAAGCTAGA